GGAGGGGAGGGGGAGGGGAGGGGGAGGGGAAGGGAGGGAGGGTAGCACAGGGAAGAGAAGGGAGGGGAGGGGAGCCTACCATTCCATAAGGTTTGCTCTAAGGATTAAGTAAGGTAATTGCTTTCACAGTCTAACATAGTACAGCCATTAAAACAGCAAAAGCTCCAAAAATATTAATTCCTTTCTTCCTTCATTCAAAATATGTACTAGCAAAGAAAAAAACATATAAGGCAGAGTCCAATTTTGAATCCTTTGGACAGTTACAAACACAAACAACAGCTCGGTTGATTTAACACTTGATTCGATTTTCTACTACAAGGGAAGAAAGTGGCTAAGTGTAAAAAAATTAAACATGAGGTCAATAGAGTTCCACCAAGCTGTGTGATCTAGAGTGATAACTTACATCTCTTTGAAACTAGGTTCCTCATCCTTGAGGAAAATATCTGCCTTGCAGTGCTCTTATGAGAAAAGGCCTGGCAAAAGCATTCAATAAAGACACTTAACCATTGCTAGGCCTTCTCCTTTGACATTTACTAGACAGTAAACAACTAACAGAGTCAAGATTGTGAAAGCTATTGGCTGTTTACTGACACTGAAATTTCTGTTCAGGTACCTGCTGCACAATTTTGACTTAAAAATTATTTTTTACAGAATTACTAATAATTGGTCACGGAGCTTCGTAAGTGGTATTTTTTCACATACTGGATATGTACATAAAAATTAAATAGCAGACAGTATCTATCAACCGTTCAGATGATTTTGGATGATGAGTGTTCACAGGTGGTTAAAAACAGCTTTCCAATGCACCCAATCATCAGATATTATTAATTAGATTTGCTCCCTTCAAAAATATTCCTCAGTTAAGCATAAACATATTTAAATAGGTAACTAGAGAAATATTAAAAAAAAAACAAGTATGAAACAAGCACCACTTCAACTATCAGCAGTGAATAAAGTAAAATTCATATAAAGCAATGCTAACCGATATTTAAAATTAAAATCAGCAAGCATGTTAGTAATTTATGGTTTTAACTCCTTCTAACTTCTGTAGAATTTTCAAAATTTAATGACTTTTTAAAAAGATGAATTAGTAACACCAAAAACTAAGACTGATAATCAAATTAATTCAAGGATATAATAGGAATTTCCAATGATTACACAATCAGTGAAAACGAACAGAGAATTACAATTAGTGGCTGAAATGGATACATACTTTAAAAAAATATGGCAGAGACTGGTCTAACTTATGTACATACTGATATAGGGAGCCATGCCAGGGTCCAGCGTTGTAATCATGCTTTCTACTGAATGTTTTGTCTTATCAAGCACCGACTTCACCATAGGATTCCCAGCCACACCCTGCATAAAACAAATTAATATATAAGTATTCACTCTGAGAAACACCATATCTTCATGATTGTGAAGGAAATTTTTTTAAAAGTTTCCAACACATCCCAAACCAATACTTCTGTAAGATATATAAGATCAAGACAATATCAAATTGCTATTAAGTTTCTAAATGATACTCTCAATTTTTCTTCCTGACTCACAGCAGTGTGCAGACCAGCAGCAATCTACAGACCACACTTAGAGTGGCATGGGTACGTAAATGACACTATTCTATATATACTATATATATTTGTGTATACATATACATATATTTATTTCATATAATTTTATTTTTATTTACTTATATAAAAGATTAGGCAAAACTTGTCCCATAGGGTCTCAAATAAAGGTCCCAATCAGGTGTCTGCATTAAATCCATACATGTTCCCTGATTAAAAAAATAAAAAGTAAAAACACCTCTCATCTGGGAGAAGAACAGTTACTTATTACCTTAACATATAACATTTTGCTATGTTCTACTAGTTTCTTCTTTTTCCTATTTCCTGTTTCTCATTCTGTACATTCCCAAATTCTCCATTTATAGTCAGATCTATTCCTCTGGATTTTTAGAGTCGTACTACTAGACAGTAGGAAGCAAGTCTTGAGTATTCCTTCTTGTACAATACTTCTCAGAGGGTAAACGACACTCCAGGGAGTAATGCCTCCTGAGATGGCATCTGACAAACCTGCCATGATTCCTCCTCCTCCAAACTTCCATTTAATAAACTAAGGTGACTCAGGAAAAGATGAGTTCATAAAATTGAAATTTAAGACTGCAAACCAACCGTATGCTGAAATATGCTGCAATATCATGTGTTACTACTATTTACATGACTTGTAGAGTTGATTGAACTGGGAATTATGACTCATGACAGACACACTGACACATGCTCTTAACAAGGGACAAAATGTTGTAGTCTGTATGCAAAGAAAACTTTTTTAAAGTACAGATCGGTATTAAAAAAAAACAAGCTTAGAAAAATGCCACATTCCTGAAATATGAAGCTCAAATATTATAAATCAATTAATCGTCTATTGATTTTTAAATGTTTAATATAATAAATTATAATTAAAATAAAACTGCAAACAAACCCTTAGCAGAAAATTGGAACTTGGCAGAATAATTTCAAAATTCATTGGAAAAAAAATTGGGAAAGATGAGTAAAGAAAAATTTAGAAGAAAAAAGAAATCAACCAGCTTACACAATTTATAGAACTAAATACTGATACACCTTTATAAATGCAGGCTTGAACTGTCCTTTCTATCTTACTTATCGCTGAATGTTCCTAAACACAAAATTAAAGTAATTAAAACAGTGTGCTCTATACAAGAACAGGCAAACAGCAGTGCACTAGAATAGAGGCTAGAAACTGATTTTAACACACAATTTCCTAAAGAAGATAAAGGGATCATACCAAATCAATGGGGATATGATATTGAAAGACTCTATTGAGCAGCTGGAAGAAAATTAAGTTTGAGCTCTACCTTATATATTATACAGTAAAGAAAACTCAACTATATTAAACTGCTAAGTGTCTAAAAAATTAAACATCAAAGGAACTAGAAAAATCATAGAAAAACATTTATCCTAATACCGTAGTGGGAAAAGATCTTTTAGCATTAAAAAAAATGTAAAGAAAAAGAAATTCATCGAAATGACTCTTGAAATTGAAGAACTTTTCTGTCAAAAAGCTTAATAAAATTAAAATGTAAACTAAAAATTGAGAAAACTGCAACATATGAGAGGAGGTAGAAAAGTATTCTTACTGTATTAGGAGCTCTTACAAATTCATTAAGAAAAAAAAATCATCCTAATTTAAAACTAGGCAAAGAACATAACTGGTAATTCACAAAAGAAAAATACAAATGGCTAAAAATCACATGAAAAAACGTTTAAATTCAGCAGCAAAGAAAAGCAAATTAAAATGTGGTATTACTTTTTGCCTCTCAAATCAGAAAATATCCTAGTCCAAATTAATAACCACTGATGGCAAATGAAAAATGCTATACCAGTGTATTTTTGTATGAACCTCCTAGAACAGAATATGTATCAATATTTTCAAATGTTCACTCAGATGTTCACCAGGAATTAATTCAGAGGAAAGAAAGATGTCCATATTTACATATAAGAGTGCTCATCACAGTTTTTGGTTTATTTATTTATTTATTTATTTAGAGACAGGGTCTCACTGTCACTCAGACTGCAATGCAGTATCATGATAACAGCTCACGCAGCCTGGACCTCCTGGGCTCTAACAATCCTACCACCTCAGCCTCTGAGTAAATGGGACCTCAGACACACACTGCAATGCCTGGCTTATTTGTTTAAGTTTTTGGTAGAGACTGAGTCTCATTATCTTGCTCAGGCTGGTCTCGTACAGAATTCCTGGGCTCAACCAATTCCCCTGCCTGGGCTTCCCAAAGTATTAAGATTACAGGCAAGAATCACCAAGCCAGACCTAATCATTATGATGGTTTATTGGTAAGAATTACAATTAGAAAAGATCTCTTGTACAACATGGTGACTATAGTTAAGAACAATAGATTATATTCTTGAAATATAAGATTTTATATTTCAAGATTTTAAGTGTTCTTACCACAAAAAATAGTAAACATGTGAGGTACTGCACATGTTAATCAGCTCAATTTAGCCATTCCAGAATGTATACATGCTTCATGTATACATCATGTTGTACATAATACATACAATTCTTGTCAATTAAAATAAATTTGCTAATTTAAAAAAATAATTACAATTAGAAAATGTCAATAGGCAGATTAGCAAAATAAAACACGGGAAATAAATGCAACAGCGTGTATGGTAGAGCAGCCATCAGAAAACCCAAAATACATTTCTGAAAACATATTTTATGGCCAGGAAGATGTTCATAATACATGCTCAGTAAAGACCAGAAAACACGAAATAGTATCCATATGACCTGTCACTACCTCAGTTTGATTTTCATTCAAAGGTACATTTCCACAGATACGCATACGCAAGAGACTAAGAGCAGCTACAGAAAACTGCTAATAAAAAAGATTTTTATTTTTCCTTGTGCCATTCTGTATTTTCAAAATTTGCTCTAATTAATATATATTAGTTTTATAATTAGAAAATTAAACATGATTTAAAAATACCTCTTACCTTAATAAAACCCCAGATTCCACCAGCAGATGCTTCATCCTGACCTCTGTTAATTCTAGGGTCTTCTTGTTCCTCTGGGAAAGTAATGGCTGATGTGGTTCCAGTTCCCTGGGCCAGAGATGTCAAACTGGCTTGCTGAGTAATAGGAGTTGGCAAAAGACCTAGTCAATGGCAAAATTTTAATATGTATAATTTATTTCATAAACTTTTTCCTATAAAAAGATGACACCAGATATAAAATGAGTAGCTCAAACAACTTTAATATTAATACTCAGGCATTTCAAGATTGAGTTATAAACTCAAAGATTAACACAAACCTTTATAAAATGCAAATTAAACAGAATTTCAAAAGAGAAATTTACTTCCCTTTACATAGGCTTACACCAAGTTTCCTGCAAATGGACAAAAAGCATACATCCAAAAGTTCTTCAGGTTTGTTTTATTCAGAACTTCCATGAACAGCTATAGTTCAGGTCTTTTTAATCCATAAAATTAATTAAGCACTTGAAGCCCATCACATAAAAGCATGCAAACAATTAGTACACATACTCTATATACTTCATGTTAACTCAAAAAGAAAATTCACATATACATAGACATGGATATAATACTTGGACTCTGCAATAAGTTTCATTTGTAAAGATAGACAGGGAAAGATAGATAATAAAAACCACAGAGAAGTTGCTTCTTTTCCCTAAAATGGGAAACAACAGGCAGAGGATGACAAAAATGAAGTTTTAATAACCGATTTGCAACAATTATTCCAGAGAAGCAAAAGAAGTAGATGTAACTAACCTAGGAAAGAAAATGACCCAATATTACAAACTTTTGGCATACATGAGGTTTTATTTGTTTTTGAATTTTTACCTGACTAAAAAACACTACTCCCTGGAGCAGTCAGTCCTGATAACTTTTCAGTAAAACTGAGAAAAACTCAGACTTCACCTTGAAATTTCTCTATAAATGCACAAATATTAGGACAAAATTCTGGAATTTTCTGACATCCCATATACTAATCATCTACTAAGTTGCATATCACATAAAAATCATATACCAAATTATACAAGCTTCATTTTAATAATTTAAATGGCAAAAACATGAGATAGGTAATCCTGGAAGCCAAAGAAATTAATAAAGAGAAGAACATTAATGCAGAGAAACTAGGATGCTCACCCACTGCTGAAAAGAAGTTAAAATGGTACACCTACTTTGGAAAATAGTTTGGTGTAGAATTACCATATAAGTCAGCAACTCTATGCCTAGATATATACCCAAGAAAATTGAAAACATGTCCATACAAAAACCTATAAACAAATATTTACAGCAGCATTGTCTCAATAGCCAAAAAGTGGAAACAACTCAACATCAACTGATTAACTGAAATGAAATGTGGTATACATAGTCATACTTTACAATATCATTCAGCCATGAAAAGGAATGAAGTACTGACAAATGCTACAACATGGATGAACCTTGAAAATATTATTCTAAGTGAAAGGTGCCAGTCATGAAAGACCACATATTATATGATTCCATCTATATGAAATGACCAGGATAGGCAAATCCACAAACATAGAAAATAGATTAGTAGTTTCCTAGAGTTATGAGGATTTGGAGGGAAGTAGGGACTAAAAGGTACAGAGTTTCTTTTTTAAAGTGATGAAAAGGTTATGAAATTGTGACAATGGATGCACAATTCTATAAGTAAACTAACTATGGAATTGTATGCTTTAAATTGGGTGAATTGTGGAGTACATGAATTATATCTCAACAAAGCTAGTACTTTAAGAAAGAATAAAATATTAATAGCCATGCATTTCAAAGTATTCATAAGAGAGAATTACCTGTTCCTGAAGGTGCAGAAAATGATGGCATCAGGGGTGTCTGGGGAGCTCTCCCTGCATGTCCCCTTGTGATGTCATAAGTTGAACCAACAGAAAATCCTGATATAGGAGGACCCGAAGGAGGTGCAGGTAAAAGAGTGTTTGGGGCAGAAGTTGAAGGTGGGAAGTGAGACACAGGATTACTGAAGGCAGCAGCAGTTGATAGAGGAACAGGAGGTGGCATAGAGGTAACAAGTGGTGGGACAGAAGGAACTGCAGGAGGAGGCACAAAAGGTAAGGGCGCTGAAGGACGCACGGGAGGAAGGGGCGGCTGAGGAGTAGAGTATGCGAGTGGCGGCAAGGACTCCATGGAGGATATGTTTGGAGAAGAAAAAGAACTGGTTGCTGCTAGAAAAAAGTGAAGAGGATAAAAACACAGAATTAGAAATGCTTTTTATTTAGTTTTCAAACTGTCTCACTACTTTCTTTTGGCAAAATTTTTAAATTTATCAGAGCATATCCTGAGAATTATTTTGAAATGTATAATTTAAAATATACAACAAATATAATTGAGTATAAATGGCTTTCAACTCCCATAAGTAAAAGAAGCAGCTATATGAACTTATGGCATCGTTCATTTTTGCTTTTTGGTTTGTTTTGGTGTGTTTTTAGTAAAATCAAGCTATTTTTCATCTCTAGTCTGAGCATAAAAACCTATGCCCTGAAGGCTCAGAAAGGTTAATCACCAGAAAGTCATAGAACAGTAGGCTGGGCACAGTGGTTCACGCCTCAATCCCAGCACTTTGGGAAGCCAAGGCAAAGGGATCACCTGAGGTCAGTAGCTCAAGACCAGCCTGGCCAAAATGGTGAAACTCTGTTTTTACTAAAAATACAAAAATTAGCCAGACATGGTGGTAAGTTCCTGTAATTGTAGCTACTTGGGAGGCTGAAGCAAGAAAATCACTTGAACCCAGGAGGCAGAAGTTGCAGTGCGACAAGATCGCGCCACTGCACTTCAGCCTGGGCGACAAGAGTGAAAGTCCGTCTCCGGAAAAAAAAAAAAAAAAGAACGGTAGACAAAGCTAACACATGCTTTTCAGGATATTTCTGTCATAATATAAGCGATGGTTTACCATAATTATGAACATAAAGAACAAAAGTCTACCTCAAGCAAAACACTAATGCTTTCTTACTTTAAATACAGACTGACTTTCTATTCTTTAAATTAAAAAGGCTGTTTCCATTCATCCTGAAAAAAATAGGTAAGTTTTAATATATACATTCTTTTCTTAATTGTCTCTGAGAAAAGATGATAGTATCTTCACTCTTTTCAAAACACACATTAGACAGCTACATGTACCTAATGGAACAGGGGTGGAAGACATAGCAGTAGCAGCCAGTCCTGCAGGATTCGGTGGAGGAGTCCCAGGTGGTGTTGTCTCTATTCCACTCTCTTCCATCATTTTTCTTCAATTATGATATACTGTAAAAATACAAAAATATAATAAATATTATACAGTAACCAAAAGTATATTTTTTAAGGTTTTAATAGCAAACAACTAAAAAAAAAAAAAAAAAAAAACAAGAGAGAGATGTCTACCTTTAACTATTTAGAATGTAACTTATTTCCAGGTGAGCTTGTCAAAATTTCTAAGAAAGCGTCTATGAGAATATTTAATATCAATCTATAACATTCCCATGTAGATATTTTATAAGTAGGAAATAATTTCATGTTATAATAACAGTATAAATAATTATCCACTACATTTCAAATAGTAAATTACTAATTTGATTTCTGCCACATGAATGCATGTTAGAGTTAGTTATGTCTGAGCCAGATGTGGTAGCTCATGCCTACAATCCCAGCATTTTGGGAGGCCACAGTGGGAGGATCACTTGAGGCTCGAAGTTGGAGACAAGCCTGGGCAACATAGCAAGATCTCATTTCTAAAAAATAAAAACAAATAAGTAAATATAAATTTCAGTCATTACTAAACTCAAAATAAAAATGAGACCGGGCACATGGCTCACGCCTATAATCCCAGCACTTTGGGAGGCTGAGGTGGGAGGACGGCTTGAACTCAGAAGTTCAAGGCTGCAGTGAGCTATGACTATACCACTGCACTCCAGCCTGGGTGACAGAGCAAGACCTCATCTCTAAAAATAAATAAAATAAAATATTTAATGTATTTTTAAAGCCCTTCCTCTTCTCTCATAAAGCACTGTATACTGGATATCCTTGTTAATTAAAAAAAAAAAAAGCTGAGTACAGCAGCTGACAACTATATAACCCTATACTTTGTGGAGGCGGGAGGAGCCCTTTGAAACCAAGAGCTTTTTGAGACTAGCCTGGGCAACACTGGAAGACCCCATCTCCACAAAAAAATTAAAAAATTAGGCAGGGTGACATGTGCCTATGGTCCCAGGGACTCAGGAGTGAGGTGGGAGGATCACCTGATCCCAGGAGGCTGAGGCTGCAGTGAGCAGTGAGAATGCCACTGCGCTCCAACCTGGGCAACAAAGCAAGACCTTGTCTCTATAAAATAAAATAAAATAAAATAAAATAAAATGTGCTTGACTGAATTAAAGCATTAATTCACAATTTTCCTAGTTCACATTTTAAAGCATATCCAGCCACAGATAAATTATATATCTGAGGTTTTAGAAAAGTTAACTACAGCAAAAATGCCATTAGATAGCAGGGTCCTAATAGATGACAATGGATTACAAAATATGAGAAAACTTACTTTAAAATTACAAATTCTCATGTCTATCGCAAGTACAAAACCAACTTCTAAATACGCTATATTTGTTTTGTAATATGTTTATTCATTTAATAAGTATTTAGTGAGGGTCAACTGACATAATGGCAATACTGAGGTAAATTTTACATGCATAGTGGTGCCTCTGGAAAAAAACAATAATTAGCATAAACAAATAGGATACTTACAGTCTAGTAAGGAAACAATCAAATAATAAAACCAACTTACAATGAATGGTACCCTGAATTATGTGCTCTGAGGGTAAGAACACAGTTTTGTTTGACAGGAACATGATTTTGACTCAGAGGTAAGGAAAGGATTCCCTAAAGAATTCAGATAAACCAAGATCTGAAGGATAAGAACTTAATTAGGCAAGGGAAAGGCAGAGTCCAGAAAAAGTGAATATACAGCAGGTACACATACCAACTGAGCTGGGGAGAACATGATACATTCAAGAAAATCCATGTGAAGAAACAGAAAGGAAGAATCAGGACTGGAGAGACAGAGAGAAGCCCAGAAGGTGTTCAGTCTTACAAACCAGGTTAAAAACTTGGGTATTTAAAGGACAGATTGTCACTGTAAGGCATTCAACTGAGGGTGGCATAACTGTCTTTTAACTTTTTTGAAGCAAGTTTAGGTTCACAAAAAAGATGCAAAAACAGTAAAGTTCTTGAGTACCCCAAACCCAGCTTCCATCAGTAACACCATCTTACGTAACTATACTACAATGACCAAAACCATGAAACTGACATTGGTATAATACTATTAACGAAACTATAGACCTTATTTGAATTTCACCTGTTTTTACATTTACTACATGTGTATGTGCATAGTTTTATGAAGTTTCATCATATGCACCATCTTGTATAACCACCACCTTGACCAGGATATACAACTATTCCATCAATGCAAATAAACTTCCTCATGCTGTTCCTTTATCTACCTTCCCATCAACCATAAGCCCTGGCAAACACTGCTCTGTTCTCTATCACTTTCTCATTCCATGAATGTTACATGAATCATACAGCATGTACCCTTTTGAAATCGGCTTTTTTACACTCAGCATAATGTTCCTGAGATTCATCCTAGGTGCATTTATCAAGTTGGTTCTTTTATATTGCTGAATAATATTCCATTGTATAAATGTATCAGAGTTTATCCATTTGCCTGTTGAAGGACATTTAGGCTGACTCCAGTTATTAGTGACTCATAATTGTTTTATTAAAAGATCTGAACAAAGTACGTAGACTGGGCCACTGGGTAGACAGAACAAATGCAGAGATGCCATTAAGGAAGATATAGAAGTAGTTCAAACAGAAGTAAATAACAACCTAGACTAATGATTTTCATAATGGGAGGGGATGATTATGCCCCCAATGGGTCACTTGGCGATGTCCAAGACATTTTTGATTGTCACAGCTACAGGGCTATTACTGGCATAGAGCAGACAGAGACTAGGGATACTACTAAAAATCCTTCAATACACAGCCTACACACAAGAATTAAGTGGCCCCAAGTGTTAATAGCGCCAAGGTTGAACAACTCTGACCTAGACTCAAGTGATGACAGCGGAGATGGAGAAAAGTAAATAGTTCAAGACAAGATTAGGTAGCAAAATTCAGTGACTGACTGGATATGGAGGCAGAGAAGGAAAGCATTACTTGCACAACTGAATAGATGGTGGTACAAGGCACAAAGAAAGGAAACATGGCAAAAGGTCAATGTGTTTGATGTTCTTTCTGGGGGAGGTTGTTGGTGAAAATCATAAAATGTTTGGTCTTTGACATGCTAAGTTTAAGCTCCTTAAAACAAATATCTAAGTAGAGACACTGACTTGGTGTGGAGCTTAGTCACTACACAAATGGGGGCGTCATCAGTGTACTAATAGTCTAAGTCATGTTTTGAGATGAGATTATATAAGAGAATACCAAGATAAGAGAATATGACTTAAAACCAATTACTGGTTGAGTAAGATGGAAGACAAGCCTGCAGACTATAAGAGATGAGCAAAAAGGAAGAAAACCAGGAGACTGTACTGTTCAAAAGCCAGTGTTTCGCAGTATGAATGGGCAACAGTATTAAATGCTGCAGAGAAGCCAAACAGGACACTATCTGAGAAGTTCAATGGATTTGCCAAACTGGAGATGAATTTAGGGAGAGCGGTTTTCATGGAAAGAGTGGGGAAAGAAACCAGTGTGAACTGAATCGAGGAGTGGCAGGCAAGACTAATATGCATGACACTTTCAAAAAGTTTGGCTGTGAACGTAGGAAAGCTCTATGGCACTAAGTAGAAGACAGGGATCCAGGGAGGCTGAATTAGGCTAGAGCCAAATCTGATTCCAAAACAAAATTTTATAATTTTATATCACTCAGTACCTATACATCGAAGGTAGATAACTTGAGACAGAAATTCCCCTTTGGAGATTTTATCACTCCGCAACCAAGGCTACCTCTTTTCTTCATTTAATTTTTTATTGGTCATTCACCCTTATACTGCAGATGCTCCCTAATCCTTACAATGACTAGTAGAAGCCCTATTAAAAGAGAATCCCTAACATTAACAAACGTGTCGGCGAAAGAAACTGTACGATGAAAACAATGCCATAACGTGGAATAAATATATCAATTTCTTTGTTTTTAACGGCTTATTATATGAAAACTGGCGTAATGGCAATACTGAGGTAAATTTTACATATATAAACATAGTGCCTTCTACTAAAAAACCTATTACGATAAAACAACACGGGCCAGGCGCGGTGGCTCAGGCCTGTAATCCCTGCACTTTGGGAGGCCGAGGCGGGCGGATCACGAGGTCAAGAGACCCAGGCCATCCTGGCCAACATGGTGAAACCCCGTGTCTACTAAAAATACAAAAATTAGCCAGGCGTGGTGGCACTCGTCTGTGGTCCCAGCTACTCGGAAGGCTGAGGTGGAAGAATCGCTTGAACCCAGGAGGCGGAGGTTGCAGTGAGCCGATATTGTGCCACTGCACTCCAGCCTGGCGACAGAACAAGACTCCGTCTCAAACAACAACAAAAACAAACACATAAGTGTCAAGGGTTGGTGACGGTTTTAGGGCTCAAGTTTTGTCACGAAAAGTAATATTCATGTACCAACATTAAAGAAAAAGTGAAGAAAATGGCTTGGAAAACTGAGTTCTCAGTCTGGCTACACCCTGTTGTTCCAATTTGCTTGTGCCTTGGTTTTTCTGTTAAAAAAAAAAAAATGGATGGCTATTTACAAGAATACAAGACATTGAACAGTGAAGCTTGATAACTTTTAACACATTAAGAGCAATTACTGCTGACGTACTCGTGCCACAAGATTGCCTCTACTACAGTGAGCGCTAGCTATAGAGCCTAATGTGATTCCAAAGTAAAATTTTATAAATTTTCACTGAATTAAACAGTGGCTACACAGGAGAAAGATTGAATGCCAAGATGTGTCACGATTGCAGAAATGTACGTGTCTCTCAAAATAACTACTTCGAATGACAAAAAAACTATTGGCTATAAATTCTACCAATCTAGGAAATTTGCTAACCTATAAATTTGCCTGAAGCAGGCCCCAAGACAAAACAAAGAAACAAGAGAATACAAAAACCCTCCAAAGCAGCTCTAAGCACCGACGGGGGAACCTCAGGGAAAATAGCTTCCTTTCACTGCCCGTCCAGGTGTGATGACTCGCTAGCCTCCTGGGCCTCTCCAGGGCCGGAGCGGACGAAATCCTGTTTCTAGAGACCGCGGCCTCCCTCCAAGGCTCTGCCACGTCTCCAGGCCAGGGAGGGCCGGGCTAAGGTCCGCGGGCGTTCTCCGCCAGTCTCTCCTGAGGTCAGCGCACTGGAAGGTAGGGCCAGAGGGCCAGGGCGCACCTGCCTTGGTCCTTGGACAGAAGCAAAGTGTCGCGCAGCGAGACCCTCAAACCGCACCCATCATGCCATCCCCAGCGGAAACTGTTCGCCTTGCGAGGCGCACTCCTGCCTGCTGCATCCCGCACGCCGCCACAGCAGCGCCCAGGCCGCGCGACTATGGGCTCAGAAACGACCCCGGCGTCCAGTGGTGCCGGCCGGCCAGCCTACCTTCCAGGGACTGCGTCCCTCGGGGTCTAGTTCTGGCTCCTGCAAGCCATGCCATGCCACCACCCTCATACACGCGCGTTGCAGCCACCTGGCGCTCACCTGCGGACCGGGAGAGTGCCTGCGTGATCGCTGAAGAGTGGAGGATAGGGTGGTCGCGACGTAGAACTACCGCTTGGAGAAGACAACGAAGATAACACGCTTAGAGCGCACCTCCACGCGTCCCCGCCTACAAGATGGCCACTGGCGGCGCATGCTCCTGCGGCTGCCACGTCGGCCGCGCGCCGCGCCGCCCCGCCCCTGCATTGCCCGGCCCCGCCCCGTTCCCTCATCGCCCCGCCCCGTCTGTCCCACAGGCGGTGAACTCGGCCCCGACGCTGCAAGTTAAACTTCGGTACCAAGATTTTCTCAACCACCGAGACTTGGCTCTGCCCACGCCCTCTAGAAGCATTCTCCAAAGGGACTGGCCTCCTTTCTACTCCGCAACCCCCTTACACGAGATTGCCACGTGTATAGCTCACTCATCCTGTGCCACAGCCGCCCAAGGGATGATGATGAGTTAGCCAAGGTCAGCTAGTCCAGTCAGCACCTCCAGGAAGGACCTTGCGGCAGATACAGGGGACTTAACCTGTATAGTCAATGATTTCCAGGTAACAGTGATCACATCAGAAGACAAGGATTGAGGAAGAGGGTGAGGGGAGAAGAGTAGCAGTTACTGTACTGAATTTTTCTCCAAGTACATGTATTGCACATTTTTTAAATTGTAAAATAGGAGACAGATTATCAACTTTCTTATCATTACATGCTGTACCTAACACAGTACCTGAGATAGTTGGTGTTCAATAATATACATTAAATAAATTAATTAATGGAGTGCTATAGAAGAAAATAAGAAACTTGAAATCAGAAGTCTTGATTTGGGTCTGAGACTAATGCCAGTTGCACAATTGCCTGCCCTTGTACAGGTCACTTAATCTCCATAAGTCTCCATATTTCTATCTGCAAAGTGAGAATAATACTATCCACGATCCCTAACTCAGACAGGTCAAATAAAATCAGTCAAATAAAATCAGTTATACAAAAACATTTTTTAAACTGCTTAGCATTAGCATATGAAAATTCGTTTTTGTTGTTCTCAATTTTTTTTCAGGAACTCTTTTATAGATTTAACATTAATCTATCTCTTGAGCTTGACAGTTGTAATCATTCTAAAATACCTCACTGAAAAGTTAATACTATGTGGCAATATTATGACTTCAGATCTCACTGTGCAACTACCATGGGTGGTTTTCTTTGGTGGTGACTCCTATCCTCTAAGAATGTGTGTAGGCAGCAGTACAGGTCAGTCTCCAGAAAGTGCTGTTTGGGGTGGTGCTGAAGACAGATACCATCTTCATCCTCTCTCGTCAACACCCTTAGTAGCTATGAGGTATATTTGTTTCTCCATCCTTTCAGAAAATATTTATTAGTGGCTGCAATGTGCTGAGCATTGGTACTGGAAATGCAGTAATGAACAAGAGAGGCAAGGTCTTGATACCTAGGGAGCATTCTTTCTAACTTTCTAATAGGAGAGAGGGTAGGAACAGGAAAGTAAAGTAAGCACTGTTTGTGATGTGCACTTTGAGGAGTCAACAGAGTGACGTAATATTGACAGTAATTGGAGTAAGACCACTTCAGATAGGATGAATGGGCAAGCCTTCTCTGAAGAGGTGAGATGTGAGCAGAGACCTGTAATGCAGCAGGACTGTGCTTATCTGGACAGAAAGAAGAGCATGCAAAGACTCAAGGAGGGAGTGTGCATAGCATGTGTCCAGAACAGCAAGGAAGCAGGACTATGAGAGAGGTAAAGAAGAGAGGACAGAGAGTGGAGGCAGATCACGTCTAGCCTTGTGGGTCATGAGAAAGCCTTTGGTTACATTTTGTGAGAAATGAGAAGCACGTGGAGGATTTTGAGCAGAGAACTGACAAGATTTGACATCAATTTCTGATCACATTCTGATTGCTGTGTGACTACAGGGCATGCAAGGATGAATGCAGGATGACCGGTAATGAGATGATGGTGGCTTAGTGTCCCTAATGGAAGTGGAGGTGGCACACAGTCTGAATGTATTCTGAAGATGGAGCTGTCATGATTTGCTGATGGGTTGGGAGTGAGCTGTTATTAGTTTCCTAATATTATCATAACAAATTACCACAGCTCATGTTTTAGTTGGCTAAAAACAACTGAAATTGATTCCTTCACAGTTCTGGGGGCTAGAAGTCCAAAATTGAGGTATCAGCAGGGCTTCTCCAAAGGCTCAAGTGGAGAATCTTTCCTCGCCCCTTCCAGCTTCTGGTGGCTCCAGGTGTTCTTTGGCCTGTGCCAGCACGCCTCCAATCTCTGCCTCTGTGCCAGCACACCTCCAGTCTCTGCCTCTGTGCCGGCACACCTCCAGTCTCTGCCTCTGTCTCCACACGGCCTTCTCCCTCATGTCTCTGTGTCCCAAATCTCTTTGTGCCTTTCTCTTATAAGCATACTTGCTTATGAGTGCATACTCATTGCACTTAGGGCCAACCCTAAATCTAGAATGATGTCATCTCAAGATGTTTGTAGGTCTTGCAAAGATCCTATTTCCAAATAAGGTCACAGCCACAAGTTCCAGGTGGGCATGTCTTTTTATGGGGGGTCACTATTCAACGCACTACATGGACAATGAGATAAGATGAGGTTTGAAGTTAACCTTGATTTAACATTTACTGTATTCATGTTTTACTTACTGCTTTTCATTTAAACTTTAAAGGAACTTTGTGTGGCAGGTATTATTATTCCAGTATTAGAAATGTGGAAACTAAGGCTCTGAAAATGGTGTGTAGAGCTGGAGTTGGAACCTAGAATCCTTAGGCTGTACCTCAACTGCTTGTCTGCTTTATGGGTGGTAAGGCAAGAAGATTTTTTCTTAGTGGCAGACAATGAAGGCAGTCAATGGAAAATTGTGGCAGAAAGAACTATTTAGTGAGTACTATGAATATGTTTTGAATTGAGTTGAATTTTCTATTAAGTTTCATGTATAGTACACACATTTCAAAATGTCCTCATAGTCATCTTTTTTTCTCCTTCAAATATGAGTTCACTAAAAATATTCTTGTAGGAGACGGAACAAATGTTTCTTTTGGAAATTTTGAAATTTTTCTTTGAATAAGAAACCATGCTGGTGTAGGCCTGTAGTCCCAGCTACTAGGGAGGCTGAGGCAGGAGAACTGCTTGAACCTAGGAGGGGAGGATTGCAGTGAGCCGAGATCGCGTGATCATACTCAAACCTGGGTGACAGAGTGAGACTCCATCTCAAAAAAGAAACCATGCAACTAAAATTAGTTCTCTGGCCAAGGAATTACTGTTAATATGCAATAACATATTACAAAGTATTCTAATCATTTTCAAGAATTTTGTGTTTTTACAAAGTTAAAAGTTTGCATAACTTCAAGCAATAACTCTTAATGCATAACTCCTAAATATTTATATCTGTAGTAGTGTTACTCAAGACTTTTAATTCACAGAACATTACACTTTTCTCTTTTAATTTTATAAGTTTAGAAAAGGTAACGTAACATAATTGTTCCTACAGGCACCTTCATTTTCGAGCAATATTTAAAGCTGAGGTCCATGTGCTTTTTCTTTTGGCAATTCAGCATTTCTTTGATGCTTAGAAGTGAAATTTTGACAAGAGAGCTTGTGAGGTGAATGCGTCCAGTTTATGTAACTCACCAATCAACCCAACTGCATGGGAACAGCCATTTGGTGTCCTTCTGCTTCCTATCTTATAGAACCGTTTCTAAGCGGGTCAGCAAGGTTAGGTGGAAAATATTCTAGATTAGAAATGTAGCCCAGCTTCTGCCACTGATTAACAAAGTAACTCCTGTCTGAGGGTTACCTTCTCTGAGTTTTAATTTCCTCCTCTGACAAGTGAGGGACAGTTAAGTAGTGAGCATTCATTATGGTTAGCTTCCTAACCAGACAAAAGAAAATTAAAAAAAAAAAAAAATGAAAGAAAAGAAAAATTCTAGATGAAATGTTAGAAAATTGAATTGAGGAATAGATGATAATGGTGTTGGTGATGATGGTTGATGATATACATTGTGACTAAGTAGCATTGTTTTCCTCCCAGGAATAGAAGGGTAGTCCTACTTCAGAATTTTTTGGTTTTTTTTTTTTTTTTTTTTGAGACAGAGTCTCACTCTGTCGCCAGGTTGAAGTGCAATGGTGCGATCTTGGCTCACTGCAACTTCCGCCTCCCAGGTTCATGTGATTCTCTTGCCTCGGCCTCCCAAGTAGCTGGGACTATAGGCACATGCCACCACACCTGGCTAATTTTTTGTATTTTTAATAGAGATGGAGTTTCACCGTGTTAGCTAGGATGTTCTCGATCTGCTGACCTCGTGATCTACCCACCTCGGCCTTCCAAAGTGCTGGAATTCCAGGTGTGAGCCACCATGCCCAGCCCTCAGAAATATTTATTGATGATTTAACAAATTTAAAAAGAAAAGGAATCTGATAATATCAGTAGATGCAGGTAAAAGCCTTTGATAAAATTGAACTCTTATTCATGGTAACTCTTGTTAAACTAGGAATAAAGGCAATCATTAATCTGATAAAGGACATCTACAAAATAACATAGCCAAAACAAGTAGTGAAATAGAAGCCCTTCATTTAAAGTAACAAGTGAAAAGAGATTTAAAAAAAAATTTTAACATGGGAAAAACACAACTATACTTATTCGTAGTAAAAATTCCTGTTGAAATGATCCAGTAGGTAGTACTTGTACTTCTTTTCAAGCTCCCAGCGGTCTTCACCAGTACACAGCCTTAAACAACATGTGTATGCTAATGACTTCCATCTCTATATGTCCAGCTATAACTTATCTCCTAAACTCTACAAATAATAGCTTCACTTCGGTGTCCAAGCAGGAGACTAATTAAAACTCTTAGTGTTTCCTCCAAATATCCTGCCCCTCTTGTACTCTTCCTATTTGATAAACGGCAACTGTGCTTTTTTAATTGCTCTGATAAATAACACCTTGGATCAAAGTCAACATCACCATTAATAAGTCATGTTGAGAGAATATACTTTTGATATTAAGTAATGAAAATGACACTTTTTCTCAGCGGTCTTCCTCCTTCAAAACCATAATCCCAGTGTAATCATGAGAATAGCGAGATATTCTGCAGTATATCTGACTAGTATCCCTCAAAATTGTCACGG